ATGTCTAGATCATTTCCAAATGAGATAAAATACTGAGACATTAATTGCTAAACAAGTCTAAGTTTACCTACTTTTGACCTCTTATTATAGAAGAGCTAAAGATTTTGGGGTCTGTTAGTAAATATGTTTCATGCCATGTTAAAAAATTATACTATGAGAAAATGTATGTTTTCAAAACTTGTGAAATGTATTTATAAATTTGCCAATCTAAATAATTCTGGCATAACAGACAGTTCAAAATTGCTTACTTCTTAGTTTTCACTAGAAAGTAAAGTTTCTAAGGGTTAAGAATTTTAATTAATATATGTAATTAAAGCTACTAGAAATAATACAAACAACGCCATATGCAAGGAAAGTAGGATGTATTTTTGGCTAAGAAAAGATATGAAGTATGGAGATACATTTTTTAACAGAAAAAAAAGTAAATTCATCCTAAAGTAAACCGGTTATTTCAGAATAGGAAAGAGGAAAATAAAGGACAAAATAATATAGAAAGTTAGGGAGAGAGAGACAGAGAATTTTACTTTGTGTAGGTAGTCAAGATGGCTAAAACAGTGAATTTACTATAAGAGCTTTTAAAAATAATCTTTGCTATCAATAGTATATTTATGTAAAACTAAAACTTAATTTTCTTTCATCTGCTAAAAGGACAAAGTTTTATCGGACTATTAGTCTGCTCTTGATATGACATTGTGAAAATTTTTGTTTACCTTTCAAATAATCTGGCTAGAAAGCAAAGATTTTGTGATTTATCAAACTAATTTTCTATGCTTCATGTTTTCTTAATCAGGTCTTCGATTACTTAAGGAAATTGAGTCTTCTCAATATTAAAAGAGCTAAGTTTGGCTCACTACTATATACCTTCTGTATTTGCCTTTAAAATCTTTTGTCACTTCGGTTAAGTAGATAATTAAGTATTGTTTCATAAAGACCTGTGATCCTCTTTTGTCAAATGTCCGAACATTTTGATATTTTTGACAAACTTCCCAAAATCAAATTCTAAATTAAGTCTTTTTGACTAGGAAGTAACTTTGGGACTTTCCAAAAGGTCCCCGAGTCATCTCAAAATATTTGTTTTCTCTCCTTACAAAAAAAGATAGGCATTAAACTAAATTATGCCTATTTGATAAGTTAAATTTCATGGGAAGCATTGTCAAATAAATAATGCTAGACCTTCTTTATGGGTACCCTTGTATAAATAGATTAATAAAAGTGTTCCAGAAATTCCTAAAAATCTGATATATAATCTTATTAGTCATAATTCCAGTTATTTAAAAATGTTATGTGTCACAGAAACCATCAAATTTCCTTACCAATTGCATTATAATGAAGTCTCATCAGATCTTTAATTATAGCTATTGTTAAGTCTTTTGGTCACTTACCAATAGTTGTTTTACTCTGATGCTTTTGCAAAATTGCTTCATCTTCAAGGAGATTCATGGAAAGGACTCTTACAAGTACAGGTTTCTGATAACTTTCGGATCACGCCACTGAACTGAATAGGAATTTACAGAACTCTAAGGAAAAACTGGATTCGTGAAACTGCTAACAAAAGATCACAATCAAGAATTAATATAGGACTGAATGAACAGATGAGGATGCTTATAATTTTTATGACTTTTTGTTAAAACACTGCTGGCTCTTTAATCTTTTGTTTTCCAAATTTAAGGAAATTTTTCTCTTGAGCTAACTATGACTTTTGGCAATTTGGTAAAGTATACTTTCTTAACAAAGATGAAATAATATTTCCCCCAATCTGATCCCTCCAAAATTCAGAAATTCTCTGTATGCATTCTTATTTTCATGGTACTATAGTTTTTTGCCTAAGTTCTGTAAGAACCTGTTCTTCTTGTAACAGGACACCATTGGAAACTTTGGTTATATACCAAGGCTTTGACTGGAAGGTCATATTTGAAAGAGACAAGAATAGATTCAGCTGTGACCAGACAGCTTCAAGGAACTGAAGTTGACTTTATGGAGCCAATAAAGCCCTTTGAAAAAAATCAGCCTGATACCTTGTTTACGGAGTTCTCAGCTAACGTACCTAGTGAGTTAGAAAGGTCACTTCTTGGCAAACCCAAGAATCATGGGATATTTTGGGGAACCCTGAAGAGAGAAGAATTCATGCACATCTATAGGTATTGCAGGTGAAGTCTGATGGGAAGTCCTTGGCTTGGCTGAGATTCCTTATAAAGTTTCTAGCAAAGGAGACTCAAGAGCCTGTATGGTCAATCACTATTACTGCTATACTTACATAAATAATCAGGTCAAATTTATTGAAACTGGACTTACTTTGTAAATAAGTTTGTCTTACTATGGTTATCTTTGATAGAAAGGGGGGTGATTGTAGAGAGAAAAATTATGTTTTAGTAGAAACTATAATACACACTTGCAGATTTTAGATTCTAGTTGTTAATTGTCTTTGAGATTTTGTTTTCTATCTCTCAGTTGGACTGGGTACTGAATTCTCATTTTCTCCAAGATCTGGCTACAATTCTCAAAACTAAAGTTTCCAGTTTTTCTCCTACCCTTCTGACTTGGAATCATTGAGAACTAAAATCAGAAGGCTTGACTGTTGATCAGTGATGCTTTTTAGAGAATGATCTCTATCAGAAAGGGAAATGTCAAAATTTAGGACAGAGACCTTAACCAAGATAGGGATCAGCAGGGACGGTAGGAGGCTCTCTCACATCTTACACTGGTCGTGAAAGCCTTACAAGAACAATTCCGGGGTACAGCAGAGCTCTATGGTTAGAACAGCCCCTCTCCTCCCCTTAGAACAGCCCCTCCCCTCTTCCTGCTGCTTCTTGCTCTTTTTGTGTACATGGCTCACCATATCTGCAGGTACTGGACTGCAGCCTTTTCTTTTTCCCAAATACATACTTTTTGCAGATGGAATACCTAGTCGACTGTGTGTTTATGGTCGAGAAGGCCCCACATTAAAATGGTTGAATTTCTGTTTGTTGTGTTGCACAAAATAAACGCTGGCAGTACAGAAGGCTTATAAGCCTGTCTCAAGGATGATTTTTAATTCAATCATTTTTTTATGCCAGCATCTTCCAGAAGTCATTTAATTGTTAAGATCTGAGTAACAACAGCAGTTTTCTGACAGAATAGTCATGATTCGGGTCTATGGCACCTTTGTAGAAATTCTTTGATGGGTTAAAAGAAAAAAAAAACATGATGATGAGGAAAGGGACAGGTACAAGGAAACAGAATATATGGGAAAGGTTATTCTGTACATTTATGCACTGAGATCTAGTCTCTAGTTCTTGGAGTTGCTGAGATGAACCCGGCCTGGACATCCTGTAGTTTCAGAGAGGCCTTTCTGAGCACCACTGGGCAGCCCAGGGTCAACCCAGAAACACAAGCAGGAGCTAAAGTGGTACTGGTTGATGAGGCTCAGTCAGTCCTCCAGAACAAGACAAACGTGCAGTGAAGGACAAGAACTGACCTAGCTTTATGAAAAAACAACCAGTCATGACAAAAACAGCCATTTTTGTGTGTGGCAGTGGGGGGGGGGGAGGAGAATTGAGGGGATCAGATATAAATTCTTTTAAAATTAATGTTAATTGGTTTTTTCACTGAAAGTTCCAAGGCAGTGCTGCTCAATCTTGAACAAGAATCAGCATCACATGGGGGGCTTGCTAGAAAACAAATTACAAAGGCCCCAGAATTCCTGATGTAGTAAAGAAAACGTGTATTAGTAGCAAATTCCCAGGTGATGCTGATGCTGCAGTCTGGGGACCATATGTTGAGAAGCACTAAGGTACAATAACTACATGAAATTGCTGGCCTCCAAATTTTCAGATCCCAGGAATATGACTTAAAGAATTGGCTGAAAAACAAAAATTGTCATCACTTCACTTCTCCTCCCCAAAATAAACAAAACAAAATGAACCAAAAAAACTAAATTAAAAAATTTCAACAACAAATAGTACTACAGTCATGCACCACTTACCAATGGGGGACACTTTCTGAGAAATGTGTCGTTAAGCAATTGTCATTGTGTGATTATCAGAAGGTGTACTTAGACAAACCTACATGGTATACCTACTACACACCAAGACTGATGCTTCTAGGCTACAAACCTGTATAGGACACTGTTGTATCCTAGGCAATTGTAACACAATGTATTTGTGTATCTAAACACATGAAAACATAGAAAAGATACAGTAAAAATACGGTATGAGAGATTTAAAAAATGGTACACCCATAACATGGCACTTATCATGAATGGGGCTTGCAGGACTGGAAGTTGCTCTGGGTGAGTCAATGGATGGTGAATAAATGTGAAAGCCAAGGACAGTACTGTACACTACTGTAGACTTTATAAACACTGTACACCACCATCACCACAAATACGAGTAATGCCGTATGCTATGACATCACTCAGCAATAGAAATTTTTCAGCTCCATTATAATCTTAGGGGACCGCTGTTGTATATAGTCTGTTGTTGACCTAAATGTCATTATGTGGTATGTGACTGTACACAAAAACTCTTCTGTAGAGATGAATTTTGAAGGTGAATTTGTTTGTGAGCAATGGGGAACTCCTAATGCATTTCCCTAGATACCAATTCTTGACAACAGTATAAGTTTCCCATTAAGTTCTTTCACAGAAGTCCAGGCATCAGCATGCTATCATTCCTGCATTTTCATCCATAGAGTTGTCATAATGGAACTCCTCAAAGTCCATGTTTTAATCGTAAAAACATATACAAGCTGCTGAAGATTTTGCTGAGTTGAGGTGAAGTTTGAATAATTCTGCAAACGTTTCTCTTTCCTCCGATCTTTCGAATCCCTGCAGGCCTTTCCTGGGTCCTGGGGTGTGGAAAGCCTCAGCTTGCAGAGGTCACATCACATAAAAGGCCCTCTATACAAACTACAGGATGTCAGCTGGGTAGGGAGGTAAACAGAGCAGCCTATGACAATCTCTCATGGATGGTCCAGGTATCTGTGCTAAAAATAAGAGGATTCTTTAAGAATCAGACAAGAAAACATTTTTATAAAGAAGTTTTATTGCATAATTCCTGTATACAATAAACATAGGAAAAGGGTTTTTTAATGAAAATTTTATGTCATTTCCAAAAGTTTTGAACCATTTGAAGAAAAATTATTACAAAGCTATCTAAGGCAAAAATAATATTTGACCTTCAGAACAAACAATAATCCCTTTGGTCATATCTGTATTTAAAGCAAGACATTTTCAATTCAATTAACAGGACAGGCTTTTAAATTACTATGTCATTTGCATTAAGAATTTAAACACATATAAGAAGTGAAAAGTTTAAACACATAGAAACGTTCTCTAATACAACATATACTGCTGCTCTCTATAGATTCATTCTGCATGACTGTCTGGATGTACTTTTTACACACCAGCCGAAATCTGCATCTCCTAATGGTACAGTAAGGGCTGGAGTACAGAGAGGGAAAGTCCAATGCATTTCCTAAGCTAAATGGCATAACTCCTGCAGATCACATACACCTCGCCATATTGACTCAGTTCATTGCACTCCATATCCTGCAAAAATAAATCTAGTGCTCGACAGCTGACATTATTGCTCACTGACATTTTAGTAATATATTTCCTTAACATAAGACAGAAATATACTGGAATTTGATACCACTTAAACTCAAAAGCAATCTGGAATTAAACCACATGCATACACCCCACTTTTTTTTTTTCCTATGGATGTTACATTTTTCTTAAAGTTGATGCTAGAAAACGTGGTAGAAGAAAAACTGGCTTTCCATGAAACAAAGACCAAGGATTAGAAAAAGAGTTTTTGAGGGAAATGTTAACCCCTACAATAAAAATAAAGGAACAATGAGAATCCAGTCTCTGGGGAGAAGGAAGAAGCCCCTCATTTATCTTCCTTGTCTATTCCAACACTGTGGCTCGTGTCCAACAGACCCCAGGGCAGGTCATCATTCATAACTGGAGTGATGTGAGAAGCGCTGTGTGTGCCCCTGAAGGACAGACTTTAAACTGTGACAGGAAATGTCCTGAGACCCAATTCTTTATCTGACTCCACATGGGATCCTTGGGTCACCGGGAAATGTTGGGGCTCTCTCTGTGAAGTTGGGAAAGCCTTCTAAGATGGTCTGGGTGATCTTAAATTTCTTATCCCATTTCTATAGGGGAGTGAAATCTGCAAATTCCAGGATGACCCTAGGGCCTGAGGTGAAACACCCTAGGAGCTGAGGGAAGAGGAGTATAACTTATCCGGAATTACAAAGTTGTAGCATACATGACAATGGTCACTAGGATGTCAGGGTCTTCACAAGAAGTTTGTAGAGACACAGAAGAATGTGGACATGACCATGCTGACACTTTGTCACAACTTTTCATTTTAATTTCTCATATTTCTTAAAATTGCCAAATGTCCCTCTTTCTTATTTTTGTCTCGGTGCTTATAAAGAAGATATCAATTTTCATAAGCTTTCAAAGATTTATAAAAACAATATTTTTTAAAAACTACATTTCAAGATTAGTATTCAAGGCTACAGATTCTCTCTCGATATATGTATGTATGTATGTATGTGTATATGTATGTGTTTGTGTGTATATATATCAGTCAAAACCTGTACCTTCACACCTGGCTGCAGCAATATCAACTGGTATCACCACTGCTCATACCCGTAAAAACCTTACCGTGCACAATGACATCCATTCCAGCAGAGCTTCTCAGAGTAAAACCAGTCATACTGCTACAAAGAAAAATTTCTGGCTCTTAGCCCAACTGTTTCCATACCAATCAGCTAAGTCAACCTCTTCTCTGCTTCTTTCCATTTCAAATGCCTGGACTTCGGTCTTTGAGGCAATTAGAACCAGATCGGTTTAATTTTACAATACTGATCTTAATTGTAGAGCAATATAATGATTATGCCCCGAAAGTGTCGATTATTTTACGAACTTTATAAGTCTCAGTTTCGACATGAAGACTAGGCATGGAGAGACTAAATGGCATGTCCTTTGCCACAGAGCAGATTAGTGTCAAGGGCGGGACTCCAGCTCCTGGCTATTTCTACTTTAAACCCCCATTATCTCTCCAGAGTTTACCTGAACCTGTGCACGAGGTCCCTCTTTTGGGGTTCTGCTTGTTACTTTAAGTATCTTGTCAGCTCTTCTGCACAGTATTGGGTATTTCAAAATCCAGGACTTCCTCTTTGGTCTTCTCTGCTCTCTCATTTCTGCTGCCTTGATGAAGTGCTTTGTTCCTAATATTTTATTGTACACAGTGGAATTCACCAAAATGCCCTTCCAGATGCAGCTGGTATTAGGTGTGGAGGGACAGACTTATAAAAGGCAATGGCAGATGTTCTTCTTTGTGAACTTTGGACAAAATGGGACTCAACATTTTACAGTTGTCTTACATTCCAACGTTTGCAATGGAAAAGAAAAGAAAGGCCTAAGGGTGAGGTAATGTTTACTTCTCTGCCACAACACTCGGTGAGCCCCCTCAGATCTAGCAACAATTTAACATAAGGAAAGACTTTAGACCTTCACACTCTTTTAGTGAGAATAAACGACCTTAGCTCAAACTTTCCACAAAGCTAAGAAGTCTCATAAGACATCACTCCATCCTTATCTTAGGTAGATCTGTACAAATGCCTCCAGGCCATGTGTCTTGCAGGTCTCTGGCCCTGTACTTGTGAGCTCTGGTCTCTACATCATATAGGAGATCTCAATTTTTAAGTTTTTAAGTTTGAAGACCAAGTAAGTACTTTCTGCCTCTTAAGCAAGTGGGGGGTGGGCGGGGGGCGGGGGGGATCTCAAAAGAAGCTATGTGCGTGAAGAAAATAATGCAAAAGGGTACTTAAGTGCCTTGAAGAAGGTTTGCAAAGCTATCTCCACTCGCTAAAGTTATAAACAGTTCTGGATCTAGTCAATAGCAAAATACATCGACGGCCAAGGCCTCTGTTTAAGCCAAAGAAGAAATATATCAATAGCACAAAACTGCCCTTATAGTTTTTGAAAAAATATATCTAAGATAGACAATTTTGAATTTTGTTAATAAGCTGTGCATTAAGTACACTTGTTTCCATCACTCTCTAGTGCTTTACAGCTCCGTTTTGTCTGCCTGGGCTGGGCTGCCTGCCCCACTGCCTCCGTCGGCACCGTGGCTGTCTGCAGGTGTGAAAGACAGGGAAGCCGAATTTATGCAGTATCTTTTGCCAGTTGGACGGGGTCCGTCATCAAAAATGTGCCCAAGGTGAGCACCACACTGAAAAAGAAGAGCAAAATGTAAGCAAAAAAACGTGTACAAAACAGGCTTTGAGAGGAACCCACATTAAGCAGTTAAAATGGATGACCAGCTTGTAGAGAAATGATGGAAACCATCGTGGATGATTTCTAATCCGCCTGTCAATGGCTGCAAAGATGGCTTCTGGCAGGCTCTGCACCACATGTTGAGAAGAAAAAACACTAGAACTGTGCATATCAGAAATCATTTAGGAGCCACTGTATTTTTTGATCTGTGCAGTCTCTCAACCAGCTGAAAAATGACTGCAGTAATTTTATGAATTGAGTTGACCCTTGATCTCCCATTGTAAGAAACATGGCAGAATAAAATCTCTCCCCTCGGCATTACTTCTGGCTTTGGATGGGTAGGTTTCAGATATGCAGAAGTCCACTGTAAAAGATACTGTTTAACTGGCCATGACAGAGGTGATGTTTGCTTTCATGGGTAGTAAAACTTAACATTGGAAAAGCATTGGATGTTCTTGGAACCCAGCAAAGCAAAGGCAAAAGCTCAATAGATTTGTCACAGTCACCAGGACTGCAAGTGTGGCAAATGGAAACGTCACTAGACGTTTTTTTTTATGGCTTCCAATAGGTGGAGTGCCATGCTGGCTTCTTTACTCATGTGAACTGTATTATTATGTGGAGAAGAAATAAGCTGTTTAACCCAAATCTATGCTACTAACTATCCAAAAAGCTGGGGGAGTAGAAGAGGAAGAGAATTCAGAGTCAAGTGAGAACATTAGTTTTGATGGTGTTGAAAAGAAATACAGCCCAGAGCAAATATCTCCAAAAAGGCTGGCTCACTGAATAGAGCCCCACACTGATGCTAGGTACAGGTCCAGGAGACGACGGCATATGTCACACTTACCTATCTCCCACCCTTTCTCAGCAGGGGGGAAAAGGATATGGAGGCCTTAGTGCACCATTTGAACAGGCTGTGACAACAGAACCAAAGCCCGGGGCAAATAACTTCCATTTATTCATTTAACAAATATTTATGGAGTGCTTGCTACATGCCAGGCACTATCCCAGACTCTGGAGATACAGGCAACAATACCTCGCCTCATGGAGCTTACATTCTAGTGGGAGAGACAGACAATACATACACAAGGAAATAAAGGAAGTGCAAAGTATGGTAGAGGGAAAAAAATGCTAAGGAGAAAAAAAAGTGATATGAAGTGTCAGGGCTGGGGGCTGACATTTTGGGTACAGTGGTCAGGGGTGGCTTTCCTGGGGCGGCTTTGGTATAAGAACCTAAAGGAAGTGAAGGAATAGATATCCAGAGAAGAGCGTTCAAGCAGATGGAAGAGACAACAGTTCAGGGAGAACGTGAGAGAAGAAGCGCATTGATGATTTATTTATTCTTCTCACTGGTTGTCTGGAATATAAAACCCTTATAAACTGCAGGAAAAGAGAGCAGAAATTGATGAAGGATGGAGCTAAGATACCAAATGGAGATGATAAGAGAGAAGTGAGGGACGGTGCTTACTACAATGGAAAGAACTATAATCTCAGTTTCTCCATTGAAAAGTGCTAAACTCAATTCTCAAGGGTTCTCTAGTTATTAATAAACAGCACAAATAGCAAGTTTGACTATACAGCACTTCCATGTTAAAAGTGTGTTCTTATTTTACTGCCAACATACTGTGTCAGCTTATTAAAGAACTAAAAATGAACCCTGAACTGATTTGATCTATTGCCTGGAAAATATGAAACAGGCCTAAAAACAACTCTTGCATTATTGTACCACATTCTATGCAGGTTTAGGTAATATCAAGGCTGACAGCTCAGATTGCTTTTCCTTTCTATAAACAATTGAGGCCAAATTTTCAGGCACCAGTAGCTAAGATGCACCAGTAAAAAATACATATGCTTACCCGATGGACACAAGAAAACATCTATTCCTGTCTGCCAAAAGAGTCAGTGTGCAGGCCAAGAGGAACCAGTGCGCTTGGTGGCCAGTATGTGTGCACAGTTATTGACCTCACGAGCAGCTTGGGCACTTTGATCACTTGGCATCTGAGAGGTGGAGTTTTTACCAAAAAACCTCAGATAATTTTTTAAAGGAATGAATACAGCTGTCCAGGCAAAAGAAATGATACTGCCTTTATTAATCATCTCTTGGACATATTTAGAAAACAGTTCTATTTACCTTAGTCCAAAAATAAAGCACAGTTAGGATATACTTGAAGCTATGTATATAGAGTATTTATATAGTCTTCATTTCCTGAGTCATTTTTTAAAAATCCAAATTAGAGTAATTTAATCTGTTGAACTGAGTTGGTTATTGGTCTGAAGTTTCATGTGCTAAAGCTAGAACTAGTCTTTTAGTTAAACGAAAAGGAAAACATGGACTCTAGATGTCCCTAATCTGGGCAAAAGGAAAATGGAGGGGGTAGGAAGAGAAATTAGAATCAGGAAAAGGGAACACAATCATTTGCAAACAACTATATGGGTTGGAGATGGGGTATGGAGATCCTCAAAAAAGGTGTAAAAATGATAATGAAAGCATCATCATGATTGCCACAAGGTATTCTGGAAAATTCACGCCAAGCTCAGATAACTGAGGAGGAGCAACATTTCAAAACGTGGCAAGGTGTTCATTTATATCTGTGCCACCAAATACATGTCCACCCCCATTGCCTGCAAAGCTGCAAAGCCATTTTTTGTTTGAAAGAAGCCTAACCACACAGTGCCATTTCTGCTTCCTTACAGGTACATCTATTCTTGCATAAAAGACTATTACCGGTTTCTTTTAAAAGTGCAAAGCCCTGAAAGCTCCTCCCTGAGAACGCACATGGAGCCCATTCTTCCAGGACTACCCCTGGCCTAGGGCTGGGATGATGAATGGAAGTTGTCAGTGATGCATTGTTTCTTTAGCCGCCTGCGAGTTCTGGCTCCCCAGCCCCAGCCAACTGGCAATGTGTTGGGATCTCTCAGCACACCTGGCTGTAACTGAAACAAACTAGTTGCCTGATGAAGAAATCTCAGAAACCTGCTGTTAGTGATCGATTTTATGGTAGAATCTTTGGTGTGCTTTTTGAAAGTTGTTTTAAAATGACTATGTATGTCTGTATTTCACATGTAAAATAAAAACTGTGACTATTCTAGCTCTCATTCTGAAGAAGTATGAGATAATTGTTCAAAAGAAAAAATTTTAATTCCCTCAAGAATCCTTTATTACCTAAGCCTCCCACTCAGAAAAGCTGGCAACTACAGAACCTGCAGAAAAGCAAGGTAAAGTCCCCGCTCCTCACCACCCTCCACCCCTGCTCCAAAAAAAAAAAAAAAAGGTGAGCATCGAATTTAACATAATTTCTTAAAATCCGCAATTCTCAACTGTGTGCATAAGAAACACAAATAGTACATTCAACATAGTTATATACTCCTTCACTGATGTATTTCCGACTATCCTAGAGGGTTTTCTCTCAGCTATTCCTAGGACATTGGGGCTTTATTCTTGTCTTTTTCTCTTAAGTGTTTGATCTATAAGATAAAGCAGTTTCAAAGCAGGGCTTTTACACTTGGGCACATGGGGCAGGATGGGAAGGGGAAAAGAGTTTTAAGAAGAAAAGCAATTTACTTTGCCAGTAGTATCCTGTTTTCTCCCATCGTTATTGAAGACACTTGTGTGTAAGTAGGGCTCCTTTCCTCTGTGCTTATGATATTAATCTTTTGCCAAGGAAATGATTGTGAAGTCACCGGTTTAGCATTATGATTTTACGGAAAGATCAAGAAAAAGAGAGATGGGCTGTGAGTCTGAAACCCTGTTGTAACACATGGGCATCTTTAATCATCAGCAATACATGAGTCGTCATCTGCAAAAGATTAATAAGGTTTGGGGTTTTACCAAAAACTGCTTAACTTTTGAAAAATACTTTGTATTAGTAGATATTTACCTTTATGTTGATTTGGCCAAGTTAGAAGAAATTAATAATGATCTAAAACAAAATTAAGGAGCTCTACCATAGATTCGAGCAGTAACAGCAGCAGTCATAAAGAGAGTCCAACGTGGGTAAACTCAGGGATCTGATGGTTTTCTTAAAGATTATCACAAAAAGTTAAAATGATTCATTGGTCTCCCATTTGTTTCATGTAGAATTTCGATATAAAGAAGGATTAATTTTCCAAGTATTTCCAGGAGGGACTTACTTCCCTGAACTACAGCTTTAACCATGCAAATCTTCCCTCCTTGAACAAAATTTAAACGTCTGACAAAGTGTTACTTAACAGGCTGGGGATGGAGGATTAAGGAGAAGCTGTCAAACAATTACTCACAGTAGTCAGTGAAACTGGAATAGAAGCAATGTATTTTTTTATCACTAACTGAAAAATGTAAATTTAAAAAAGATTAAGGAAAATTCTTTATAACTGAAAATTATTAGGAAGTTGATGCAGCCAAGAAGAAGATACATATGCCCACTGAAGTGGGCAGATTTAAAATTTAAAATTGTAACTGGAATATAATTCCTCAATTCAATAGGCAGATGAGAAAAGAAAAAAAAAATACGGTTGCAACAAAAATCAGAATGTAACAGGATAACCTATTTCCTCCAGCAGCAGGATTCCATCACCTTTGCTTATTGTCTGTATTGTTAACTTAAAGATCAGGCAGCGAGCTAGGTTTCTTACACAGCAATTCTTTTAGAAGAATCTGATTGCAATATTTCTCTGAAAAGCAATAATAGTACTGAGTCAGTCTTAACTTTCTCAATAAAATTTTACTAAAATATTATTATCTAAGAAGTCACTGGAAACTTGGAAAAACTACAGCGTAGTATAAAGAGGTGGTAGGTTATAGCTCCCAACATGTTTATAATTCCTGTCCAAATACGAGGCCTAATTCATTGTATGGTGTGATCCACATCACAATTTTAAAAATGAGGAAGAAGAAGAATACTAAGTACCACAGCAAGAATGAGGGACCAAGACCGAAAAAAAATATTGCCATATTGCCAGAGAAGCAGATTGATTTGGTCTACTGGTTTCATCCATGGAGTTCAGTTCATTTGTATAAGTTTGCAGTAAAAGGGTCTTCATGATTAGATACTGCATCTTTTCTACAAGGAAAGAAGTACACATAACATGTTCAACTGAAAATGTCTATATGATACTAAAAGCATCTAACAGATTCTTCATAACACAAACCACATTAATGCAATTCAGTTCAGAGAAAGGATAAGCCATGTGAATTCAAAATACAAAAAGAATTTTAGAAAGAGGAGAAGCAAATCAGCGAAGCTTCCCACACTGTTACCCTCAAAAATGAAACAAAACAAAACAAAACAAAAAAGATGGGAGAAGCTGTGGGTAGGGGAAGAGGCAACATAAACTGAAAGAACAGAAGGCAAAAGAAGACAAACTGATAACAAAAAAAGTGTTATGACTGAGAAACCAGGAAGCAAAATACAAGTGGTTACTCTAGTATGGAAATCATTAAATCGTTTTTTTTCTTTTTCAAGTCAAGATAAAAAGGACAAATGAAAAAACGGAAAAGAGAAAACCAAAGAAAAATGTGTAAAACAAAAAGAAAATAAAAGTGTGTGAAATACACCAAAGACAAAGAAATTGAAATGAAAGACATCCAGCACACGTTAATTTAGTGAGCTATCATTGCGCATGTGTGGCAGACATGCCCCACTCTGTCCACATTGGGAGGGATCCAGCAAACATATCATTTTGGAGGCTGGAACCCAATTATTTTTTCTACATGGGACTTACTTCACAAAGCATGTATTTTTGCACATGCCTTAATGGAACAAATTTCTTTCCCTCTTCTCATTAAACTTAAGACTTTTATTTAAGAAAGTGGCAAATATTCGAGAAGCAAAGCTGGTGGAAAAGAAGTTGAAAAGGAATAGGTCAGTGTTAGTTCTTCATGCAATTGTTATTCTTCAAGCAAGAATACAGTAACTATCACCTAAGTTTTTAACCAAGGGCTGGGAGCTATGCTTCGGGTAGCTTATCTTTTATGAATGTTATCTAATTTTGGCACAGTTTCTGGCTTTAATTTCTCTTTGGCCACTGTAGGACACTTTCGTAGTGGTCTTTTCTTGACTGCTATGGATGTTACCTCTGTGGCTGGCACAAGAGAAAGGGGGACTTTATTTCAACTGTGAATTTTAAGAATTAGTCACAAAGCCATCAGAGTAGGGCTTTAAGGAAAGTTATTATCTTATGCCTCACATTTTCTGCGCATTTCTTATTGGTTTTCACAGGGCTCAATATTTAAAAGTTGGTTCTAAGTGAAAAGGAGAGTAGCAGTCATATAACAGCCTTTAAGGCAGCTGAAAGAAAGACAGAGAACTATTAACCTAATAAGAGGTTTACTAAATATTATGTATACACCTAAGATAAATTACTATGTACCATCCTACCCAGTTATTATTTTGTCAAATATTTTAGATTCCTGAGTAGATAGTCATAATTTGTTTTTGTGGCAGCTATAAAAATATCAAAGTTCAATTGAATTCAAAACTGAATTGAATTAAACTAACTTCTATGAGATCATAGAATTTTTTTTTCCTTATTTCAGTGTGACTGTTTATGGTTGGTCAGCCTATCTATTATCTATCTATCTATGTATCCATCCATCCATCCATTCATCCATCTAAGCATCATAAAGAGCTCTGGAGCTAAATGCCCAAATTCCATCTCTGTTCTGCCACTTATATCGATGTAAATTTACACAAGAGTAATTGCCCTCCTTCTACCTCAGTTTCTTCAACTGGGAAATGAGAGAATAACCTAATAAGGTTATCGCGAGCATTTTAACCAGAAGCGCTTTTAAAAATGCTGATGTCCAGGCCTCACCCCAACTAATTAAATTAGAATCTCAAGGGGTAAGACACAGTATCAGAAGGTTCCACTATCTTGCTCAGAGGCTCATATATCTGAGAAACGAGAGCGAACTAAAAATGTGACTTAGATAAAATATAATATCTGCTTTTCAAGGGAGAGAGTAGTTCTCATATTTGGAAGACAGTAAACTTGCCAGCCTTATTTAAAAAAAAAAAAAAAAACGAAAACAGAAATTCATCAGATGGTTAGGGTCAAACCACCCCCCACACACTTGGTAGTAAATATGCCACCTACTCCCTAAAACTCTTGTGCCTGATGGAGGGGGTTAAAGGGCAGTAGAAGAATGCTGAGGGAGGCATACGTGGCAATCACTTTGCTATTACAGCTGCCTGATTGTGCCCCCTTTACCCCTGATGTGTGCAACAGACATCCCCCCAACAAAATACTCCACATTACCAATGAATTTTAGCGTCACAATACTCAAGACTACATTTCACTTATTTAAAGCAGGTAAGAACAGGACCACTTGTGCAAGAAGGTTCTGTCTCACGGTGTAAGCACAAAATACCCACATATTCAAGTCTCTCGACTGGGAGGACAGATTAACTAGTTTTGCCTCCTCCTCAAAACTTGCTCATCTTCTCCCTTAGAGCCAGCACTAATTTGGTTAGAGCAGAGTAAAAGGAACTAATTAGAACATTCTTCAAATGAGGATAGGTCTACCTACTAGGAAGAATAGAGAAAGAATTACCTTACTCCATCTTCCCACTCTGCGCTCCTACAGCCTACCACTGAACTTCCTCTTCCGACTGCCATTCTCTACCCTCCCACGTTACACCCAACAAGGAAAGCTGTTTCTGGGATCTTTGCTGACCATGTTTGGATTCACTACCATTGGAGGCATTTTGACTGAACACAAACCACAGGGAGAGGAAGATTACCTAAACTTCCAATTCCATAAGGCCATATAATGAAATCTTCATATGCCCTAAGAATAGCCCATTCCCCACTGTGTTGAATCAACTGAAAATGACTTTTCCTACCAATGACTTTGTTTAATTATGTTGAAGCCAATGACTAACATTTAATTGGACTTGCTAAATACTCGAAGACTGAGATATCATGAGGACTTTAGAGAAATTCCATTGTGGTTGTCTGCCTCTTTTGTGATGTCACTTGGCTTTAGTTGCTATATTTAGCACAAGCAGGAGTCTTGGAAGTGTTTGCAATACAGAATGAGCAGTATATCAGGTTTTCAGGTGGGGTTAACTCACCTGAGAGCAGCTTGTTTCCACCCTGTGCATCCCATAGGAAAAGTCATCTGTGAATGTGATTGCCTCAGAACTCATCACATCATGGAAGGAAGGCCAACCTGGGGCACAGCGGGCACAAGAACCAAAACAAAGAGGAGAGATACATAGCCTTGAGTTAAAATGCAATTTTAAAGAAATACTAAGCAACGAATGGAAATCCTTATATATATAAATCATGCTTAACTTTTTCAACCTGAAAAAAAAAGTCAAAAGCTAAAGGTTACTATATTTTGCAAGAGTGCAACTATTTTTTAAGAATAACTTTTTCTTCGCATTCAGATTATAGTTGCATTGGGATTTTCTGTTTCAGGAGATATTTTTAGACCATCCAGTAGTTTTCTAGAGCATCCCTGAACTTATAAAACTCTCTCTCACCACTTTATCTTATCTCTCTTATCTTCAGAGTCACCGGGCATGGCCCCAAAGCACTATGAGTCTTAATGTGTGACATTCTCCAAAATACAATCCAACTGGATGTGAACTTTTCAACCGTTCCACACCTCTTTAGGAAGAATGCTTTTTCAGTACTTAATTTGCATGGTTAAAATACTAAAAAATTAATATTCTGTTGTTTCCATCCTAATCTAAGTTCTTGGGATGGTGGGGTATCTGGAAAGCATTGCTTCTATCTATTTTAAGGGCAAGAGGTTTGCTCACTTCATAGGAGAAAGTCCTAGAACAGTGTTCTTCAGGCATCTCTGGGTAGCACCTTTTCTCAGACAGCATCTTGTTCTAATTTCCATTTATTCTAACGATTTTTAAAATATGCACATAGCTTTAAGAAACTGAATAGTAAGTGGACCATAAAATGGTACGAACTTTTATTAGTGTAAAATCAGGTTTTATGTTCAATACTTATGGGCATGTTTTCACATGTTTCCAGAAAATATGTCTGGAGTTAACTGAGCTGAAGCCTGCATCCCCAAAATGGTGAGAGAGGCGCAATGTTGCCGAATTGTTATGGTGATTTTTTTTCTTTCTCAGAAGCCAAATTAATTCCCACAGAAAGGAAGAAACCCTTTAAAAACATGGTGATTTGTGTTAATAACATCCATTGAAAAGGAAAAAAAACAGAATGCAAATTTCAACAATATGATTTTCAGTTTCAAACAAAACAAATTAGTTCAGGCCAATTTTTCATAAGAAACTCCAAAAGCTCCCCACTCCCCACTTACGACAATATAGCTTTCATAGACAATGCTAGATTCAACCCCAGATTTTGAACACTTTCCAATCCTTGATTTGAATTCAAGATTCTTGCAAATCACCAGGAAAACTTTAACTTTCTAGTTACAACATTCCACAAAAATTAATTATGCTAAGACACATCAGTATTTTTTAGAAAACTAGATTTCTCCTGTTGTCTAAATTCTAAAGAGAATCTAATCGTATTCTAGAGTATAGTATTTGGTTTAAAATGATTACTTGACACATTTACATATTCTTTGTTCAATGATAAAAGTGCCAATGGCTAATAAAAAGATGTTTAATGTAATATTTGAGGACATCAAAAATAATTTATGGAAAAAAAAAAGAACATTCTGTATTTTTTTATCTCCCAAGTCAAAACTCATTTGATTGCAGTTTATGGCAATCAAATATTATGGGGGGACATGTTTGATTAAAGAGTAAACAGATTAAGAATAAAAAAGTTTTGTTTTGTTTTGTTTTGTTTTAATTTACCATAATGCTGCCTCCCCCACACACATAAATTTTTCCTATTTCTAGAATTAAAAATAGGTACAGGGAAATATATATATATATATATCCCCCCTCCCATGCTACTCTGCATCATATATATACTTATCTTGTTCTACTCATCTCACTGGATTTGTGACTTATTTGCTTTCAGGCTTTCCTCCCTAACTAGGTGGTGAGAACTTTGAAGACAGAGTCTGAACTCACTGGCTTGAATATTCTCATTGACTACCATGGGATATAGCACAAAGGCATAGCTCAAATGTTTAATTGATTTCCACTGAGCCTTAAACAAGAAAATGGGATGAATAATAATGGTACATCACAGAGTTTCACAGAAGAGAGAAAATATAGTCATATTTCTTTTTTTACAGACTCGATTAAGAAATATCAATGCTGGTTCCTCACTAGAGTATTCAACTTAGCTCAATCACTATAATTATGCTTCTTTATGTATGTGATATAGACTTTTTATTGATTTAGAATGGTAAAAACACAAAGATCGTTTAGGTCGCTCTTCACAGGGTTTTGGGGGAGAGCGAGGAACAAAAGAATGTTACTTGTTATACAGGCAGTATTGCCAGAGCCAAAACTAGAATCTGGGTATTCTGACTTTAGGGCTCTCTTCTTATATTCCACTTTCTTCCTCAACAAAAGACTGAGAGGTGGTTAATTTGAACACTAGTGGGAAAGAGGTTGCAGATCTTAAAAAATATATTTACTACAACATCTAGATTAGTTGAGAGTTACACTGTTACACTTAGGAGCCTCTAGATAGAAGAGATAATGAATGCATCCCAAACAATACTGATTCTCTCACCTTCAAATGACCAAACTGTTCAAATGGAAAGCCCAAGAGTAATGATGTAAATGCTGTAATCCTGTTTGGGACATAGATAATTTCTTATTCATTTATCTGAAACCACCACAAAGAATTAGAAACTCACTCTTAGACAATAATATTGAGAAAACTGTCAATTCTATTTGGGATTTCTTAATGCTAATTCTTTCCCAGTAATTGTGAATCATTGCCAACTAAAATTTGAGGGAGGGAAGTGAACTGCTTTCAAATGAGCTATTAGACCATACAGCTATACATTTTGTCTCCATGAATTAAATATTTACAGAATTTTCCAGAAGACTACATTCAAGAACAAAGCAAGGTGAGCTGAAGTCACATGGAGTAGAAGTTCACAAAAGATTTCAATGTTTCTGGGAAAGGTTTGACACTTGAATAGTTTATTTATTGCTTACCCTGGTGTATTTAAACACTGGAGGAGACTCTAAAAAAAAAGATTTCAAAACTCCCCCAAATGCAGTGTCCCTTTGAAACGCAGTTTGAAAGATAGAATATTCACTCTGTCAGCCAATTCTTAATTAGTGGAGATTGACAGTGAAACCATGTTGAAGACTATAACTCCGTGTGATGGAATGCATTTCAAAAGAGAATCATGACCAACTTCACCAATAATGTTAACGCAGGAGAATGTTTAGCTATTTTGTGAGGTCTCTCATAAATTGAAGCTCTATAAAAAGAGGATCCATCAGAAAGGTAAGTCCTTATTGACAATCAAACTAAGAAGGACTTTCACCCAAGAATAAATTGTCTTATTGCAGAGAAGCCACAGTGATGACAGCACTTTGAAAGCGGAATTCCCTCATCATGTGAAAGTATTTAAAGGAGGAACTCTTCACTGCTGTAAAAATCCTCAAAGGAAACCTTGCCCCACTCCTAATAATAAGGAAAGTGCTTCAAAGGGTGATAGGCAAAGACTGAAGCAATCTGGGTCTTGTTGAGAAAATTATCTTGAGCAAAGTGGGGGTGGGGGTGTTTATGTCAGTTTTGACATTAAAGAAAGATCATCCATCCTCCTTTCTTTCGGATTTCCCTTTTAGTCTTCTCATGTAACAAAACATTATTTGTTTTGGATGCATTCCATGCACTTTTTAAAAGAAAAGTCGACTGAAAACCTGTATAAACAGAGTCGGCTCACTCCAGCCTCAATGTATCCCTTTGTTTCTCTTTCATGAGAGTGGATTTGGGTGTATTATCATTTTATTTCCAAGAATATAAACTGTACTTTTTAGATATTAGCCTATTATTATCAAGAATATCTTATATGCAATAAATTGCTTCTCCCCTCAAAGAATTCTCATCCCCAGATAGCAAATAAATACAGGTACCACAGCTAAAGAAGACAAGTTGGAGTACGGCAGTTCTACTTCAATTTTATCCATCCATCAGGCCAAATCAATCTGCAGACATAATACAGCTAGTATGATGTGCAGCTAATCCAGGATATGTTCATTTACATCTCAAATATAACAGCAAGTGATCTAGTTTATTAATAGATCCTCGGAGCTTGCTACCATCTACACTAGAATGACCTTTTTCATATTGCAATAAAAAGAATTATTCCTCTTACTCATAATGTAGCTTAATAAAGCTGCCCTGTCTACTTGAATCCATAATTTAATAGTGACATAGCTCTCCACAAATAGTATTATGCTGACAATTTTTAAATGTTTCACTCCAACTGCCTCCTGAGAAAAACTTTCTCGGTTCTCTCTCCCAACCTTTTCCTACTTCCTGTCAAAAATCTTTGAAGTTGTTAAAACTATCATCAGATTATAAACAGGTTGAAGCCAATTCCTTCCATACCATGTCTAAAAAATGTGTACCTCGTTTCCCTACTCTTAATTTAACAAGGATTGCTATATAGCTTCACTTGCCCTATATCCTCCAGAACCTCCAATAAAAACTAGAAACCTCAGGAAGTTGGCTACATGACCCATCAGCAGGACATAACAGAAACCACCCATAACCAAGAATCCATTGTACTGAAATGCAATTACAAATATTTTGTTATCTTCGAATGCAAAATAAATTTGAGCACAGTCAATCCAAGTTGGGTTTGGGTGACAGTTTAATAACAACAATATGCATTTCAGCATAGTTTCAGTAAGACGAGACAGAGATTTGCAGATCCATATTTTTTGTGTGTACCAATTCTCACAGCTCTATAATTCCATGACCATATTTCAAAATGTGCAGCATTTAGTTTCTCTGAAGTCAGAATGTGTCAATATCGCTGACCACAATTCACATTATTAGCTACCTCAAGCCAAATAATAAAACTCTCTATGATGACCCACTGCTAAAAAGAAATTTTGAAGCTTAGAACTCTGATTTTTTTTTTTTTTATAGTGACTTTGGTTAATGAAATCCAGTAAGTTTCAACTGTATACTTTAACAGTAAGGCATATATATATTTACACTGTGTTCACCTCCCACAGTTAGATTTCTTTCTGTCACCACATATTTGACCCCCTTTATCCCATCTACCTCCTAGAACTCTGA